TACTACTACTACCGCTACGACTACCAGAACCAGAACCAGAACCAGTAGCAGCAGGAGGAATCCGGCTTCAGAGCCCGCTAAGTCGGGCAGCCAAGGTCCTCCTTGTCCTCCAACTCTGTGCATTTCACCAGATCGGGCGCCTTGACACTAACCTCGGGTTTAGGGGTTCGGAGTTAGGGTTTAGAGTTAAGAGAGTTTCGCTTCGAGGGTTGAGGGTCAACGTTGTTGACTTACGGCTCAGAGACTGTAGCCATAGGCGCAGTGACACCACCTTCATGACCCCTTCCAGAAAACTTTAACGAACAGCACCTCTGTCACTAAACACTGAGAAGCAAACGCCAAACCAAATCATTACCCTTGCATCGAATATGATCTAGGTCATGATGCAGGCGGAGAATCCTGCTGCTGTTGCTGATGCTGCTGTTGATGATGATGGTGATGGTGATGCTTGTGTTCATGGCGATGCGGCTTCTGAAGCCCATGACGCTGAAGTTGTTGATTTGCACGTCACTTGACACTTGTTATGCTTCTGATGATGATGCTAGAGGATGGTGGTGGTGATGACGATGTTGAAGATTGTGCTTTTGCTGATGCTGACGAGAATGACTATGGTGGCGAAAGTGGATGATGTTATGGATGTTTTTGGCAGACTACCCTGTTCATGGTGGTTTTGTGAGTTTGATAATCGTGATAAGCTTGAGGATAGTGATCACCGGGATGCTGATGATGACGATGATGACGGATTACACGGCTGGTTTCTCTATGACTCTGAGTGTGATGCTCCTACCGCCGTCGGTGGTGATAACGAAACAAGAGGAGAATGGATGTTACTACTGCCGGTATTGTTTTGAGTACAATTCGTGGCCACTGCCATATGGGCAGTCGTTGTTATGTTGCCTCGATGATGGTTGAGCAGCTTTTAATCGTTGTGTGAATGGTGCTGGTGCTATTGCCATTTCCAGGTGCCGGCCAGAGTTGTGAGCATGATTTTCAAGATTGCTGTCGTTTTGGCTGCTGTCATGTGATCTTTATGGCAGCTATAACCTCCATGGACTGTACTGTGGCCTTTATCATGAGGTTTAGGAATTCGTGGTTCTTGAAGTATTGGTAGTGGTGTTGGTGCAGCTAGTTGGACTTGGCATCGGTGGGTGCACGTGCCCCGTCGCTGCCCTAAACCCTAAACCCTATTCTCTAAGCCCTAAACCCTAAACCCCTTTTAACTCG